AAATGTTATTTGACCTTATTCTCTGAAATCCATAGACGCAAACGTAATAGACGCGTATAAAAGATTAGTTTAATTATTTCCATTCTTTTTTCTTTGCATAAATTTTGCTCAAATATTTGCTGAATGAGCTGTAGTTGTAGACCAGATGTTTCTTATCAAATCGCTAAACGTAATCCAATACTTCGAATTCTCCGTAAAATGTCAATTCACACAACATCGAACAGGACTAACTTTGTAAGTTGTGTTTAAACAAACCTATGCTAACTTCGGTTAATGCATTCTACGGCTATGTTATGGTACGTATTTCTTGAGGGGTTCTTAAATAAACTCGGTGCTCGAAGTAGAATTTTCCTTTACCCTAGGTAGTAGGCCTGAATACGAGATAGTAATCCAGGTTTCAACCAATAAGTATTTAGGGGTATGTTAGCTATTTCATATTTGAATTTTATCGTCAAATTTGCCAATTCTAGGTTCTACAAACTTGCCGTAGGATATGCTTAATAATAAATCTTAACTGGACGCACAAATTGATCAATTTGTTTTTTTAACTTTCATGAGCCCTAACTTACAAGATTAGGTAATACTTATCAAAATGTTTTTTGCCAGATGTTACCGTACCAATACAATTTCACCGCCAACTCACGTGCATAAAAAATAAATTACCTGCACTATTAACGACGTGTTATCTATAAATACAGAGAAAGCCTATAAATCGTAAACATTTGACATAAAAACAGTGTAAATTTAATATGTTTTTTATGCCCAAACGGCGATTAATCGTCGCAACTTTATGTCGCAACGGTTTTTTAATTGCATCATTGTTACGACACAGCCTCCATGCCGTAGTGTGCAATCCATCTATTTTAAAATGTTCACACTTATCTTGATGCTTTTCACAGTTATGGTCGTCTTGAACTGGAAGGGTTGGAGTTTGTTGAACTGTGTTTTTGCGCATCGTTTACCGGTTGGTTCAAGCGTTTTTCTGCAAATGCTTTTACACGATTGATTTGTCGAGTGCATCGAACCTTTAGACTCGGATTATTAGTTGCTATTTTAAGAGATTCGGTTTATCTAGACGAGTCCAGATAGACGACTTTTTTTCCGATTATTTATTCTTACAAAATCATCAACTTAGCCTTTAAAGCTCACTGATTCAAGTGCTTTTTGTTGTTGTGTTTACTTCTGTTCTCTGAGTATTTTTGTGTTATATTTTTCCCTACTCTAGAACAACCTAAATATAATATTAAGATCTTTTCACTCATGTTACTATTTTACTAAAACCTAGTTATTACTACTTAATTTCCATTTTTAGTCGTGTATTAATTCTAAAATGATCTAATTCGGTGATTCCATCATCTTTCTAAAGTTAACAGCACCAAGCCGAGATTTAAAATTAACTTTTAAAGAATTATTACCAATTTCAATGTGTTTACATCTTCACCCATTTTTATAAACTGTATTCTTCTTTTCTTAATTTTCCTGGAGAGGTTCTAATTTTTCTTCGAATGAAACGAACATTAAACATATTTACTTACTTTTGGACTACTTTCTGCGACGAAGAAATATTTTTTAAATTTTAATTTAGCTTTTGACACCAATTAAAACGTCTCTATCTAAACTAGTTGACATAATCAATTTTGTTCTTAGTAATAGGCAGCTAGAGTTATTGACCCATAGGGAATGTCTATCACAATTTTGGTAGGGCCCAAACTTAAGTAAACTAAATTGGTTAATAGGTTACATTCAATTTAGGAGTGTGGAACTTGATAGTTTTGACCGCCCTCATATTGTTTCTCCGCATTTTTTACACTCACGCTTCCATTGGAATCGGTCGTGTCTTGTGTCCCTGCTTTTGTTTTGTCTCATTTATAATGCTCTTACCTGGTTCGGTTTTGGTTAATACAACCACCTGTAAATACATATATGTAGCTATAGTCGATAAGCTAATAAAAGTTGACACTACGCCAGCTCATCGGTGACGCATACCTACAAATGCATTGATTTATGAAATTAATGTAAAAAAAAAATATTTTTATTTTTTATTGAAAAAGGAACACCAACAGTATTCATAGTGCTGAAAATATAAACATTCAGATTTTACAATGCAAGTTATGTATAACTACTTACAGGTGAACTCAGCATGCATTAAGATACGTACAGATTAGCAAATGTAAACTAAAATTAGGCATTTAAATATGAAACTTAACATTATGATTTTAAAATAAGCTTTATGCCTTGTATGATGTGCGCGTGATATGATGTGATTGTGAGTATGCGTCTGCGTTTGTGAGTATGACCTCTGTCAGCCCTATGACACATGTAATAGTGGGAAGGTATCTCTGTCCATCATAATAAAAATGATGTCGGACATTTAACACACAACGCCATCTAGTTTCAAACTAAGCAGAGCTATAAAAGTTATATTGACTGATAGAATACTTAGACCTCAGAACTGCAGTCGTATACGCTGCCAATGCGCCACCGAAGCAGGGAGTGGGCTTTTCCCAAAATGATTTAGTTAGTCCATCACTCGCCAGTTCACTGCTTATTCCCTGTCCACCCACAACCTCTTTCACACTGTAAATCCATTTTTTCTTTGGTCATCCTCTACTAATATCTCTCTCTCCTCCTCCTCTATTTCTAAACCAGTAAATATTTTACTAACATGCTATATGCAAGTTGAATTTTCATATAAACTAGCTGTACCTTGTCACGCTTCGCTGTGGCACATTGTGGTTGCATTGATGAGAAATGGAGAACAAAACTGAAGTGAAAAGTAGATAAAAGAAATCTTTGAATCGGTTTTATATCGTGTCAAAGGTGGAGCTCAATCAGGGCCGAACTTTTTGAGTTTTTGAAGCACAAACCAACTTAACATTTTATATATAGTAACCTCATAGTGGAATATCTAAGAGGGATAATCCTTAAAAAACATATAATCGTCTCGATCTTGGCTCTTAAAAAAGTTTTACAACTTAAATTATTACGTCGCAAAAAAACTTTAACTAATATTCGATTAGTCGAACATTTATCGTTATTTTGATCTCTTATTAGTACCTCCTGTTATTAGATACATCCTGTATTCATACTATTTGAACTGACCTTGAAATACACTAATTATCTACTATTCTGTTTATTCACTGACTATAATAAAATAAAATTAAAAAAGAAATCATAAAATACATCGCAGTAAGGAAATAAAATTCCTGGGTTGTAATGTGAATATTTTGTTGATGCGTAATTATTTACCTTCAGAAATACAATGCTATTTATGTAAACGTATCCTTATTATCTACAAAACAAAAACAAAAACATTGAAAGATAACTGAATTAGTAACTGGTTTTAATTGTCAACGCAGAGTAAAAATACTTTGCGTCGTCAATTGAAACCATAAAAATATGTATGTTGTAGAATATTACCGAAGTATATTATATCATACTAGCTTTGCACGCGTGTATGTCGGTTATCGCCGTAAATAGAAGCCTATGTCCTTCCTCAAGAATCAAACTATATCCATACCAAATTTTATCTAAATCGGTTCAGCGGTTGTTGATTCCCCATACAAACTTCCAGCCTCTTTTTCATCCCTTTTAAGGATGGTTTCTGGGATAAAAACTATCCTATGTCCTTTCACGGGACTCAAACTATCTCTGTACCCAATGTTATCTAAATCGGTTAAAGAGGTAACAGACAGACAGACTTTAGCATTTATAACGTTAGTATGGATATGGATTAGGGGTTTATGTTGTGGAGTATACAATGTGTTTATCACTACTTGTCTTGGCATTTTAAATACATTTAAAATTCAATTTTTGAATTTATTACGTTTACGTTCTTAATTATAATATATATAAATATAAAATGACTCAGTACAGTAAACTAGTACGCAATCGCGAACTTTACACCTTAAGTACCTAGTTATTCACATATTTTCACATTTGAATATTGCTGCGCTGTATTTAAAACATTGTTTGTTAATATAAGTAGGTAGGGTAGATGTTACGCTTTTGTCTTCCTCGGCGCAGGTAACACACGTTATCCCATTTTGGTTTGACGAGATTAAGAACAATTGGCGGGAATATTTCATTTGTCAAAAATTACTTGTGTATTATTTTTAAACATGAAGGCCTTTACTTAAAGAGCTAATTGGAAATAGGATAGGACAAAGCAAGATAGGCAGTAAATGTTAGTGGTTTCTATTTATGGCGTAAGGGTTTTCTTTCCATACGTACCTGTCATTTCGTTTATCGGCCTGGTTTTTGTCCCACTAGTAATTAAATCTATAAACCTCAATACAGTGGGTGAGGTTCACCACTAAACCATTCCGCTATGAAAAGAATTGCTCTGACCTGTAAATGCGGTTAATATTTACCTCAACAAGTACATACTGCTAGAAAATTATGAACATTATTTTACATATAATTCCGATGATGCAAACAGTAACTCCATTGGCCAACCTGTACAATTTAGTAGCACAACAATATCGTACTTGTTATTATTATCAATCTTTTCATAACCACACATAATGTATTTTTCCCCGAAATAACAACGTTTATTTCCACATAATTACAGTAGTTAGTACAAAGCGTATGCAGAACGAATATGATGCGTCAAAATATAATAATTATATCAGCTGGGTCGCCCGTAACGTGTTCAAACCGTTCGGCCCTCCTGACACCGCTGCGCCTTGCAGACAGCCGTCAGCCAGTCAGTTGTAGGACGCCACACGCTCCTAACGTGCGTACACATCTACAGACGAAACACACGTTCATTCAACCCACCAATATACGCATACGTCATACCATTATAATACCCCATTTCAATATATTGCGCAATCCGCGCCCCGCCGAATGTGATGCAACTTCGCCAGCCCATTTAGCTATCTAACCCAGTTCAACTAACCGCGCGCACTAAACCCGCCGGGTTACAAAACGTATCAATAAACAAAATGCAACCACGTGCTTACCCCTCGCGTTACGCTGCCGTTGTCCAATCGTAGGAGGACGAGGGCTACCGGCGCATATCAGCCGGCCAATCGCGGCTCGTCTACGAATTCACCACGAACAAAGCCGATCGCAACCGACAGGACCCGAAGTTCGCATCGACAACCCCCAGTGCCGCTTCAGCCCCCAACATGGCCACTATGGTGGCCCAGTCGCCGGGTAACCCGGCTTTATCAAAGAAGCCGTCACTCAAAAAGTACAAGGCGCCCACGCCACCGCAGAAGGTCATCGCTGAAGATGAATGTGAAAGTGATAAAGACAACAAAGAGAACGCAGTGCAACACGAAGATGACGATAATGACGCAACTGATGATTGTAAACAAACAAAACTGGAACCGGCCGACGAAAAACCGGCGCCAGAGAAAGAATCGCCTGTGATTAAACGGTTGGCTCCTAAATTAAACGGGAACGTTGACAGGAGTTCTGTATTATCTAAAGCAGCTATGTTTGAAGCCGGCAGCCCTAAGGCGAAGGACCCCGCCGAAATGAGTTTGAGGGAGCGTAAAGCGCTCTTTGAAAAAAATAAGGGTGCTGCCATCATTCCTAAAGCTCCCTTTGGGCTCGCTCCCTCCGTCAAGACTTTACACGGTGATAACAAAGGTAAGTTATTTATGTTTGATTATTTTTGTCAACAATGAAGGAACATACTGGGCTGTTTATTTTAGTTTCATGAGGTGTGACCAATAAGTAGGTTTTTCGTATCATTTTTTAATGATATCTCATTCTCAGTATCACGGACTATCGTGATGGTTTTTCTCGTTAATTAACTTAATTGCTTTAAACAACACGAGGCAGTTAAGATGTTTATGTAATGTGTGTGCGGTGTTCAGAAACAAAAAATACTAATTAAAACGATTACGTATTTATTATAGAGTTAACTAACAAATAATTATATTAAATTCTTAATCGAAATCGGTTACATAGGTTTTAAACGTTTAATTACTTTTCAAACTAAAATCTTCAAATGTCATATCGTGACCTATTTTGCCTTCAGAATAAAAATAATAATAATATATTTTTATTTATCTGCACTAATTACACAAGTTTTAATATGTAAGTTGACAAATGTTTGTCTTAATTGGTAGTTTGTGATAGATCTGGAGTCTAAACTGAGCCTAAGCATGTATTTAAAAGCTCCTTCTGATACTGACGTTTAAGATGCTGTGCGTATCAATACTTTACTTTAGTGCGTTATAAAAAATATATCTTAACCAACATGATATCTTTAAACATTGTTGTTATTGTGATGTTAAATTTTAAAACATTCGTAAAATTAAAAACTGCAGTTTCTGTGTGCATATCTTGCTTTGTCCGTTATTATCAATTCCAACATAGTAGTTCTACTTTCTATTAAAATGCAAATATTTTAGTATTAATATTAAACGTGCCTGTTTATTGCAATTATTTTCAAACAATTACGTCCATCAATGAACATATAGACAATGTTGGTAAACTTTAATAGATAACATGAATCAATGAGTAATATAAAGTTGTTCCTTATATTATTATTCTATAACTTGAACTAATTAGTTTAGCTTAGACTTACTATTATTGGTTTTTAGACTTTTAGAGTCCGCCTTAGTACAACATGTGCATTCAGTTTTAAATAAATAAATAAGCATAATCTTCCGCTCAGCTAACTAAACAAAAAAAAATATATTATTAATTATCAAAACATTGTTTGTGATCAATTAGTAAAAATACTATTGAATAATGAAATAGGTTAATCAGAACTCCAGTTTTATTAAATTGTTTTCTAAGGGCCCAGTAGTGACCCAGAAGTCGTGGATTCGATTGCAACCCAAGCCAATTGTTTCACATAATTCATTTGTAATATGTATGTATTTAGTAGGTAAATAATAGGTGTTAGCATGGTTGTCAGCAAACTAGTTATCATCAAGTGTGAGGTATCCAAAAAAAAAAGTTGTACAAACCACGCAATATCAAATTCTTGCATTTTAGCTCTAATAATATTTAAATTGTGTATCTTGAAATAACTTTTGCATTTTTGTTGTCTGAACATATTAATTTTTGTGTACCTTTCTGGTATATCCTCCAATTTCAGCTATTTGTCAAATCACACCACAACAAATTAAAAAACCTCTTTTCTAAGGAGAGGCCTGTGTCCAGCAGTGAACTACTGAACAAATTAAATAAGTAGGTTAACTGGACGGAAATACCAATTTTTGACTTCAACATACCGTAGTGTTGGCATAGCAATTGTATGGTCAAAAGTTTTACGGACCGCAGTGTTTACATATCTATGTGGCGACAATGTCTTTCATTTCCGCCCTTTTAATCTCTTATTAACGGTCACAATGCCTATTAACCCACCAATTGTGTCCAGTCATCTGACGTTTTTTTACCATGGCTAGTATAAAATACAAAGCAAGTACCCCCAGGGACTAGATAAGGAAAACAGTAACTCTATACTAATATTATAAACCTGGAGAGTTTATTTTGTTGAATGCGCTAATCTCAGGAACTACGAGTACTTGTTCGAATAGAAAATATATTTAAATGTTGAACAGCTCATTTATCGAGGAAAGGTATCGTGCCATATAACATCTGACTAATAGCCGAAGAGCATCAATGAAAAGTTTGCAGAAATGGGAAACAATTATTCATTTTGAGATGAAGTTGCGCGAGTCACGTAGTATGTAATAAAACTATTTTTGCATAAAAATTAAAACCAAATATATGTATTGCAAAAAATTTGATTCAAAGCGATTACGCATTTTTTGTGCAATTGCTAAATCGATTTGATCAGCTTATATAATTATTAAACGTGTTATCACCATTAAAGTGATATATATACATACACAAGAGTTGGTTTAAGTTTTTTTTCATAATCAAAAGAGCTCTGACCTCAGATAGTCTAACATTGTGGGCAATTTTAAGTAATGATTGAGCTATCAAAATTAAGTGGTGTGCTCGTATTTATTAGTTAAATAATAAGAATGGGTATACTATACGTGATTACTTTGTACAAAGTTTGATTTTATTTAACGACGACACTAGCTTATGCCCGCGACTCCTCCCGAATGTATGTCGGTTAAAAAAAATGTTAATCGCTAATAATGTACTTTTTCATTGGTGAAAGAATTTTTAAAATTGGTTTAGTGGTTTAGGCACGAAAGCGTAAAAACAAACTTACTTTTACATTTATAATATAGGCGCTGGTAAGCGCGCCTCCGCCGCCCGGTTCGTCGGCGGCGAATTGGGTAGTGAGAGATTTCCCCCGATGACTGCAGTGAGGACCCGACGCTGCGACGCCCAAGCCGAGCAAATTGCCAGCGTGTGCTAAACCGAGTCCTCACTGCAATCGCAATGGTGACAGGCAAGACTCAGTTCCCTCCTAGCGACCGAGTGCAGGTACTTCCCGAAGCAGCCGTGCCCGGAAAGGACCTGTGTCAGTCGGAAGGAAAGGGTCCTGTGCTGCCACCATGCCCATTCCACGATGACCGGCTGGAGCGCCTCCACGGCGGCAATACCAGCACGTGGAGCCCCCAGCCGTGACGACCAACGAGCCATCGTGCCTCGACGAGCGGCTTTGCGCCACTCGCTTACTTCTTCGGGCGGAGACCCGACTGCCGCTAACCGCCCGGAAATTACGAACTTCCCTAATCTAGCAATGAATAGTAAAGGAGTCCTTATAGATACATAGAATATGCTTTATTGGACACGAATGACAATAAGATAGATATATGAACACATATGTACAATGGGCGGCCTTATTGCTTAAAGCAATCTCTTACTAGACAACCTTTGATGGACCAATCCACAATAGATAAGAGAAACAAGGAGAAGTCTTTATACTTACTTTTTAATTTTAAAGTTTATAGTCGTACCAAGACTGGTCATAATAAATTCCACATACATTCCGGCTACTTTATTACACCAACGCGGTGGTATTTTATAAGCACAATAAATACAGTTTGGTACGAGAACCAGTTCAAAATCCAACTCTAATAAATTAAGGGGAAGAGAAATCTATAGGTCTACTTCCTAGTCCTTCAGCAAACCGAAACTGCAGAACGTGGAATAATGTGATGAAATTTTAGCTGAATAGTTGTTTTAACCAACTAAAAGATTTGACCGACATCTAATTGACATTATCACCTTTGTCATTATTTATCGAGGCCTATATTTTAGTACCTGTTAATTAATTGTCTAGGTCGAACAAACATAAAACCACTTCATATTTACCGCAAAACGGCCGATGACACACTTAAATATAAACTGTAATAGAGGTGCTAAAAATCTACAGCTTAACACCATTCATTTATTTGCGGGTAATATAACAATAGGGTATCACATTATTTTCCAGTTTTTTTTATTAGATCCCAAATTAACAGTTAACTACAGAGGGCGTAAATTATTTCAATTTTGCTAATAAGATCCTTTAGTTGGCGATGCTTATAACAATACGTCGATGTTTATACATTTCATAATTTGGCAAAACATAGATATACAGGGTGTCAAATCAAATTTAATATTCACACAAACATTTTCCGAGTGTCTACTGCCTAAACTATCTCTTACTATATTATTTATCATAAACATACAGTACAGATTATACATTCATAGAGTATCATACCCTATTGATTCTCAAGATTGCTGTTCAAGGTTCCTACTCATAGAAATATCATAGGGATTTAAGTGTTGGAGATAAATTATAGCAGATTAATTCACGGCTTCGGTACCTAAATGACTTGCAGTAGTACCTTCCAGAATGATTAGTGAATGTAGTTGTAATCGGCACTTAGTGCTATAGGTTTTTTCTACCACGAAGTAGAGCCCACAAAGCTGCACTTGAGAAGGACTTAGCAGTTACATACCTTGCTAGGGTTAAGATCTATCGCTAACGGTATATAAGACGAATCGTTTGCAATTTGTCAACTTGTGGATATAAACAGTCAACCACATAATGTTTTACGATCAATGAAACTGTATACGTTTTATTTTATCGTGTCTGTCTACACGTGTTCCGTATGTGCGAGTCTTCCGCGTTTCGTCACCGCGAAGTAGTATCGACGTTTGTGAGGAATAAGACCACAAAATAAACATACGAATCTCATTTTCCTAAAATCTGCAAAATGACCCGACCTCACCCTAATATTGTGACTTATCTCAAATACTATTTCACAGAGATAAATTAATGTTTCCTTAACGATTGTATAGTGACAGTTGACAAAAAAAAGGCTTGCTTGTATTCGTAGAAAACAAACTACATAATCGACGATTTCGTACTGCTAATTATGGTGTACTTTTATGGTGTTAGAAAATCTAAAGGCGTGAGTGTGCCGCATGCTTTTCACCAAAATGTATATTTAAAAGTCAAATACTTTCATGTAAACAGGCGTTAATGCGAAAGTTGGTAAGTTATGTAGGTAAAAAATGTTAAATTTATCTTGTACATAGATTATACATATAACTTTATACTCCACACATACCTATACCACAAAAGAGTGACATCAATAATGCAATACATGTCGAAAATCTGTAGGATGAACACTTTACAAGTTTAACTTTTCCAAATATATTTTAAAAGTCGGTGTGAAAGTTTACATACTAATGTGCCGAACTAGCTTATATTT